TTGTTCATCATTTTTCTATAAAATGGTAAAGACTATCAGTAGCTAGAAGAGATCTGTATTTGTGCCCATTCTAAAGAAATGTGATCCAATGCAGAAATTATCAAACAATATCATACACAAGTAAAATTTTGCTGAAAATAATTCAAAAATGGTTGCAGCAGTTCATCAATATGATGTACCAGAAATTCAAGCTGGATTCAGAAGAGGGCATGGAAGGAGGGATATCATTGTTGACATTAGATCGCTTTTGACTGAAAGCAAAGAATACCAGAAAGATGTGTACCAATGTTCTGTTGACTATACAGAGGCATTTCATTGTGTGGCTCATAACAAATTATGGCTAACATTGCAAAGAATGGGAATTCCAGAACACTTAATTGTGCTCTTGAATAACCTGTACATAGACCAGGAGGCAGTCATTCAAACACAACAAAGGAATATCAAATGGGTTAAAATCAGGAAAAGTGTACGTCAGCATTGTACACTTTCACCATACTTATTTAATATGAATGGTGAGCATATAATCCAATCTAAGAAGCTGGACTGTATGAAGAACAGTAAGGTATGAGGATTGGAGGAAGATATGCTGACAACCTGTGATATGCAGATGACATAGCCTTGTTTGCTGAAAGTGAAGAGGACTTGAAACACTTACTGATGAAAATCATACTACAGCCTTCAGTATGGATTAGACCTCAACTTAAAGAAAACAAAAATCCTCACAACTGGACCAATAAGCGACATTATAATAAATGGAGAAAAGATTGAAGTTGTTAGAGATTTCATTTTACTTAGCTCCATAATCAATGCCCATGGAAGCAGAAGTCAGGAAATCAGACAACATATTGCATTGGGCAGATCTACTGCAAAAGACATCTTTAAATTGTAAAAGAGCAAAGATATCATTATGGGACTAAGTTGTACCTGGCTCAAGCCATAGTATTCTCAGTTGCCTCATATCATGTGAAAGCTGGACAATGATGAGGACAATTCAAGAAGAATTGATGCATTTGATGGTAGTATTGGTGAAGAATATTAAAAATACCATGTACTTGACCAGGACAAATAAGTTTGTCTTGGAAGTACAGCTGGAAAGCTCCTTAAAAGTGAGTGACTTTGTCTCAGGTACTTTGGACATGTCAGAAGGGACTAGTCCCTGGAGAAGGATATCATGCTTGGTAAAGTAGGAGGTCAGCGAAAAAGGGAAGACCTTCCATGAGATAGATTTACACAGTGGCTGCAATGATAAACTGAAGCATAGCAGAGATTGTGAAGATGTCACAGGACTGGGCATGGTTTTATTCTGTTGTGCAGAATAAGTCATGTTGAGTTGGAGCCAACTTGACAGCACCTTAACAATAGCAGCAATCACAGTGGCCCTCACTAGAATTCTAACTTTTCATTACACTGTTGGCAATCCTAGAATAAACAAGGAGTTTTACATCCCATATTTAAAATTTTTTTTATTGTGATTTGGGTGAAAGTTTACAGAGAAAACTCATTTTCCATATAGCAGTTCATACACATTTTATTTCATGACATTGATTGCAATTCCCCACAGTGTAACAGCTCTCTTCATACTTCTTCCCTGTAGTTACCTCTTCCCTGTGTCCTTTCCTGTGCATTCCTGCCCACTGAGCTACCTCCTTGTGCAAATACTGCCTTCTGTTCTCCCATGATTGATATGATCAGTCTAGGAGTGTATCTACCTGATGTAAATGTTTGCCCTAAATGCCTGTCTGTTGTTGAGATGGAAGCCATGGGAGTGAGTTAAATTCCAGACCTGAAGGGTAACTAGGGGCTGTAGTCTTGGTGGTCTTCACCAGACTCTATCTGACCAGTAAACTTGGTCTTTTTTTTTTTATGATTTTTAGTTTTGTTCCATATTGTTCTCCAACTCTATCCAGGATGTCTTGTACTGATCCCTTTCTAAATGGATAACAGTGGTAGCCAGGCACCATCTAGTTCTTCTCGTCTCAGAGTCATGTAGGCTGAGGTTCACATGGTCCACTAGTCATCTGGACTAATCATTTCCATGTGTCTTTGGTTTTCTTCGTTCTTCTTTGCTCTGGACGAGGAGAGACCCATTGGTATATCTAGATGGCCACTCGCAAGCTTTGAAGACCCTAGTCGCTACTCACCAAAGTAGCATGTAGAACAATGTTTTTGTTCCGTATGTTATGCCAGTTGAGCTTGATGTCCCCTGCGATCCTGGCCCTGAACCCACAGGTCCAACAACTTGCTCCATCAGGGTGGTTTACTATGTCTAAGAAGTTATCATAATTTGGCTGCCTGTTAGTTCTAGTTATATGGACAATGTTACAGCACACATCATCCCATTTTTAATGGATTGTTAAGTCACTGGTCTCTAACTTAGAAAACAATGGGTTATGTTTTAAAAGAATTTTCTGTAACTCCAAACAAGATTAAAAAATATTTTTCTTACCTGGATTCATAAAGTAACCCTAGTGATGCTGTGGTTAAGTGCTCAGCTGCTAGCCAAAAAGTCATCAAGTTAAACCCACCAGCTGCTCCATAGGAGAATAAATTGGCAGTCTGCTGCCATAAGGTTACAGCCTTGGAAATCCTATAGAGCAGTTCTTCTCTGTTCTGTAAGGGTTCCTATGAGTTGGAATTGACTCAATGGCACACAGTAACAAAAACAACAAATTAGGGAGATTGATGAAATAAAGAATTGCTACTCATTATTCAGAATGGGCTTTCAGAAAGTTTGAGTCAGAAGAATATTCTTGGATGATTTTCTCTATTTTCTATCACTTCATATAGATTCCTTTATGGACTAGATGTGGGGTAGTAGGAAGGCAGGACTATAACTTGAGAACAAGGTAGCTGAAATGTAGTAGCTCATAAATATTTGTTTAACTGAATGGAAAACATGATAAAAGAATTTTAAAATATATTAAAGACAGTCCAGCAATATATTAATATATACATTGTTATAGAAACATATATATATATCAAAGAATGAGTGTAATGCTGTGTTTGAACATTAGAAGATGAAAGTCATACTTTTGGAAGAAATAAGCTATAAATATTGCTTCCTTTTGAAATATCACTTTTAATGACCTTGAAAATTTTATTTGTAGCTAAACATAAATCTGAAAATACACATTTATCTGGTAGTTGAATTTAGACTGTTACTCAAATCATTGAGTAGCAGGAAACAAGAAAGTATTTTTGTGAGTGTGAAGATGGGGAAAGGACCTGGTTTAATTGGGACAACAGTTCAGATGGTCCCCTTCATTGGATCCTCTAGAAAATTGTGTCCCCTTCAGGACAGAAAGTTACTTTCACATGTGAAACTATTTGTAGAGTTTCTTTACCATTTGTCTGTTTCGAATGTATTCTTTCTTTCTTGTTTATATGATGTTTCTTTGGCAAATAGGTAAAATACTGATTGAGTCATATAGTATTAGACAAATAATTTCTAATCCTTCAACTTTGTTGCAAAGTCTCTATATACCTATTTGTAGTACTTTAGCTTATATATCCTTCAGCTTATATGAGAATTAAGCATAAAGAAATAATAATTGCTTTGATTGAGAACAAACCAAATTTCCAAATGACTAGAGGTAATGAGGAGCCCTGGTGGTGTAGTACCAAGGCATTTGATTGCTAGCCAGAAGGTTGGTGGTTCAAATCCACCAGCCACTCCATGGAAGGAAGATGGGACAATCTACTTCTGTAAAGATTAACTACCTCAAAAACCCAGTGGGGATCCCTATAAGTTGGAGTAGACTCAATGGAAGTGATTTTTTTTTTTTTTTTTTTGAGAGATGATGATAATACATGTGCATAAGAATCTGGTATCAGAATGTTCAGAGTGCATTGTATACAATGATATATTAGTTTAATACTAAATTAGAAACCTATATTTATCAAGTATTTTCACAATGTCTACTTTATGATGAGAAGTAAGATATGATCATTATGTGTTTGACTGTGGTATTTAGTTTTGTGATTTTTTTTTTGGAAATGATTCAGAGTTCATCAGATGCTGTGTGTTATCTGTACATATACTGGTTGGAGTTCTACTGTGTTGTTTTATTCCTGGTTTCCAGTGGAGAACTAAAGCACAAGAAGATTAAGTGGCCTGAGCCAATAAGTCACCATCTATTTATTAATAGAGATTTTATCTTTTGATTCTTGTTTTAAGAGTGCTTTTCCTTGGCGTTTTTTAAAGAGCTGTTGATTCTGTGTTTTTTTGTTTTTTTTTTTGTTTTTGTTTTTTTTTAACTAGGTTGATGGCTTCCAAATTTGTATTCTCAATAATTAAAGCTTCCTAAAACTTTTGCTAAGATTTCATCTCTTTGTCAGATTCTCTTTGCTGGCTTATATCTTTTGGTTTATATTGAAGTATCATTGTGATTATGAAACAGGATATGATAGTCAGATGTTCACTGAAAAGATATTCCTACACAAACGACTTTTGTGTGACATGGCAGAAGTCTGTAGACCACAAACTGAGTTCAAAATAAATGACTTCAAATGATAAGTTAGTGAGTCCATTGCTCAGGATTGATGTTATAGAGGTTTACTAGTTTATTTTAACTGTAATGTCTAATTAACTTTCTTTAGTCGAGTGTTGACCTTTGCTAGGTATTAGGTGAAGCATGTCATGGTGGGCTCAACATGTACCCTGTGGTCCCCACCCCAAGCTCTGCCACATTTCCTCAATTTAAAAGCTATTCTTACAATGAGAGGCAAGTTATTTTCTCTGCCAGCCTTTCTTCTGCAGTGCCTGTTGAGTGGATTTGAATCACAAACCTTTGAGTTAGTAGCCAAGTGCAAACCATTTGCACCACCCAAGGAACATATCATGAGACTATAAACTCCCTTAAAGTAGCCTCTTCCATAGTACTATTTTTTTTTTTTAATCATTCAGGAAGACAGATGTACTGTAGTTCATTTTTAAAAAATGAACCAGAAAAACGGTTTCTTTTTGGTGTAGTTAATTGCCTTAACTTTTTCCCATGCAGGTTTGCAGACTCCTATTCCAGAGTTCATTGTTGATGTTGAGTCTATGGATATCTTCCCTGTGGGCTGGTGTGAAGCAAATTCTTATCCCTTGACTACACCACACAAAACAGTTTGTAAGTACTGCCTAGTTGGGGCAGGGTGAGGATTACATCTGGGATCTTGGGATCTTGGTAGTTAAGTATGCAGTTTTGTGAAGAAAGTTTAACTAAGTTGTTTTAAAACAAAACAAAAAGTAGTAGATTTTTCAGAAAGCACCCTTGTTTTTGTTATGTCATTTATCTTTAAATTTCTGCATGAGAGGAAGATGTGAAGGCTGTAGGTTCACTTACTAAGGGACAGTGTTGAGGCAGCTGAAGGTCACAGAGAGAGGTAGGGATGAAATATCTGAAACCTTTGTTCCCAGTTTCTATACCATTCAGTATTTGATTTGAAAGACTGCATGTTGAATCTTACATTTTTATATTACTGTTTCTGGGAAAGAACTAATTTTTCTTATGAGGTTCTCTGCAAAGGAATCATAATCAGTCCCAATAATTTACTGATATATTTATAAACATTACTCTTAGTACCAACAAGTAAGATTTCTACTGTACTTTAAAAAGTGTATTACATCGTATCCTCTGATCACAAAATACCAAATAAATACAATATTGGTAATTAAAGAACCCAGCAATAAATACATATACCTCTTTACATACATGTAGCAATATGTTTTAAGATATGATATTGTCAGTCATTAATATGATATAATACAGTTTAAACCTTCAAAACTAATGTATCTTGATATTTATTAACAAATACCCTTATTAGCAAAGACTTACTAACAAATATCAAGATACATTAGTTTTGAAGGTTTAAACTGTATTATTGATATTTATTATTCCACCTTAAGCTGTGTCACAAGTATTACATAAAATAGTGAGTCCTTAAAGGTAACCAAAACCAGCCCACTGTCATTGAGTCGATTCTGACTCTTAAAGATAAAAGATCTCTATTTTTTGTGAAATACATTGTATTCTTAATGTTTTCTTTATGTAATGTATATACAAACTTTACTTTCTCTGGCATCTTACTATATGGTACAATTATGTAAATTCTCAAAACATTACTATAAAGAAAGTACCATCTCGTAGTTGACTTCACATATATTTTGAAGGGCACTTAAGAGTCTTTCTTTAAGACTAGTACTGGCAATTATCTATATGAAACAAAGATTATAGGCAGATGTGAATTTTAAGACAATGTTTTTGCCTTCCTAATACTGCACTGCTCAGTTAGTCTGATCCAATTAAAGTAACATCATCCCCTCACTTTAAATTACTTACAAAATTTTGAGCTTAGAGTACTTCTCAGTGGATTTTTTTAAAAATGTTTTTTACTTAAAATGTTATATATTCTTAACTCACTCAGCCAGCATACCCAACAGTCAGGTCCTCCATGGATTCTGTCACAGATTTTGGGCACAGTTCCCTGTGTCTTTGTCCCTGAGACACAACTTAGTGTCCTATTTCCTCTTTGTTGTGTTTTTTGCATCCAGCTTTATTGTGTTTGACTCCTTATACCAGGTTATAATACAGTGCAAACACCCATACCCTTATTAGCAAAGACTGAGCTAAACTAGTTATTCTATACTCATTTTTAGCCTTAGAGACCATAAACTTTATACTTCTTTATAATGATAACTGGAATTGAATATTAGAGTCAAGAATGACATTTCAACCAGTTAGAAGGGGATCTATGTAGGAGATCCTGGATAGAGAGGGAGAACAATGTGGAACAAAACTCAAAATCATTTGGCGAAAAAAAAAGGAGGGGACCAGGATTGCTGGTCCGATAGAGCCTGGTGGAACCATTGACATTATGGCCTTTAGCTGCCCTTCAGGTCTCGAGTTGAACCCACACCTGTGGCTTCCAGCCAAACAAAAGACAGGCATATGAGTTGAACATTTACCTGAAGTAGATACATTCCTTGGAGAGAACAATCATGGGAGAAAGAAGGGCTGCTTATGCACAGGGAGACAGCTCAGGGGGCAGGAGTGTATAGAGGGATGGACACAGGGAAGAGGTAACTATTGGGAAGAAGTGGGAGGGGAGCTGTTGCATTGTGGTAAATTGTGGTCAATGTCATGAGACAAAGTGTATGTGAACTGCTGTATGGAAAGTGAATTTGCTCTAAATTTTCACCCAAATCACAATTTAAAAAAAAATGAGCGAATAACATTTTATTAACTGTTTATTTCATTCTTCTTTTCATTTCTTGTACATACATTTTGCTTTAAATGTACTTTTTACCCTCTAAACTCTTAACAGCTTTAGAAGTTTTGTTGGAATTAATTTATGTTTATGTTGGAAGGTACAGGATTATCTGTGCCAAAATTAACAGATGTCAAAATCTCTCATCTATTTTTGTTAAGGTGATCCTAATCTTATAAACTGAAAATTTTCTTACTCCCCAAAAATCTCGATTAGCTGCTTTATATCAGTATTTGACAGACATATTCTTTAGACACTAATCCTCCTTTAAATAACAAAATGCTTCATTTTAAAAACATGCTTCTAATGTTAATTTGGGAGTGGACTGTTATGGTAACATTATTTGTCTTACGTACTTTCTGTGGGAAAAACGTCATGCTGGGTAATTGTGCTTATGACAATTTATTTTACCATGTATGTTGATACAAAGTACAATATTTGTGGCTCCTTTTTTTATTATTAAAAGCACGCTTTAAAAAAAGTAGGCAGTGTCACAATAGATTAAATGTACTAAGTTCTATTTAGACTCCTCATTTCTGACAAGACAAAGTCTATTTTATGTTAGAACTTCTAGCCTAGAGGAAATTAATGTAAATCGTGGCATGAGCTAAATAACTTTTCAGTATTTAAATTACTTTAAAACTAAAACATTTTTTACACTAAGCCAATTTTATAAATGCATTTGTCCAACTGGCTAACAGTGCTGTTTTTCTTTATTCTCCTCTTTCCTGTTTTACAGCACAAAAGAAGAGAAAGATTGCAGTTGTACAGCCAGAAAAGCAGTAAGTTTTGTTTTCATTTGTTTCAGAAACTGCATGAAAAACTGTTGAGTGTCTTCAAAGAGGATGACAAACATCAATGTTTTTATTAGAGAGCTAGTTAATGAATAGCACACTAGTAGAGATGACAGTAAAATATATCTGTTACTTAATTAAGTTCAAGATTCACTCCTTGCTCTCAAGGAACTTCTAGTCCAGCTAGTAATTTTGTATTCTTTTTTTTTTTTCCTCCTCAGTATACCTGAACTTATACATTGATAGTAATGGCTCTGATAATGATTCTTAATGCATTTAGGACCAGACATATGACAGATGTGGTTTGGACAAACTGCCCTGGCTCCTACACAACATGCAATCTTACCATCCTCTGTGGCCAGGCCTGGGAAGTAGAAGCCTTCAGTCTGATTCCCAGCTCTAACAATTCTCAGCTGGAGGAACATGAGCAAATGGCTTAAATTCTGTGCATCTCAATAGTCTAACCTGTGAAATACCAATTTCACAAAGTTTTTATGAAGATTAGATTCCAAGTGAGAAAAGTATCCCTAAATTGTTAAATGGGTATAGGTTACCCTGAGTTTAGATGGTACTTTATCAGGAAAAAGAGTGGTGGAGTGAGTATATGCAGGCAGTATGTTTTGGGAAAGTTGTAACAGTTGGTAATATTTTTATATGTTGCAAATACTTAAAACACAATGAAATAAATATCCCAGGCTAAGTGATTCTGTTTTCTGAAGTGTATTCAAATATACAGATAGAAAAGAAATTGAAAACAGCATATTTCATGCTACCAAAGTTTGGATTTAAATAAAATGTAATTGAATTGTAATTGCATTTTATTTTAATGAGAATAACAGTTTTATGGGTATTTTTTGTACATTCATTTCTAAGTACTGTGCTTAGAAGGTAAAAAAGAGAACTGTCGTTAGAAGATAAAAGAGAACTTGATTCTCTTTTTATCTGGATAACATTGAAGTAGAAAGATTAAATGATAGACTTATCATCGAATCCAAAATTGAAAATAACTTCTAGAGGTTCAGTTTTTAGTTCAGTGGTTCTAATACTGTATCAGTTGGTGGTCTTGTTAAAACACAAATTCCTGGACTTCATTCTCAAAATGTCTGATTCAATGTACTGGGGGATGGCCCAAGAATTTGCATTTCTGACAAGTGCCCAGGAGATGTTGATCCTGCTTGTTTGGGGACCACATTTTGAAAAGTACTACCATGGATGACCCGTGTAGGATATCTTGTCATGGTTTACTTTGAGTTTACTTGATTTTCAACAATGTCATTTTTATGCAGCCAACTCAAATACTTTTATAGAACCCATTTCTTCTCTTTTTCTCCCAAGTCTGTATTTTTTTAAAATATTTATTCAACCTTTTTTTCTGAGCTGTAATGTAGTATTTTCCCTTAGAATAAGTCTAGTCACATTTTAACAATCAGCAGTTTATAGGTCTTCTTTTAAGATATTCTTTTCAGTATGGCCATGACAATACAAAGCACCAAAAACAAAAACAAAAACCTGTTGCTGTTAATTCAGTTCTGACTCATGACGATGCCACGTGTATAAGAATAGAAATGGACTCCTAGAGTTTTCATCTTTTAGAAGCAGGTTGCCAGGATTTTTTTTTTTCTGAGGGTCCTCTGAGAGGATTCAAACCACCAATCTTTTAGTTAGTACCCAAGTTCTTAAGTGTTTGCACTACCCAGTGACTACATAAAGTGCAGACACCACAAATAAATGTTAGTAGGAACATTTCTGTTAGACATTGAATATAAGAGGTCTGACTTTAATTAAACACTGGTTAATGTTTCTTCATGTCTAAATTATAAAGAAATTATTATAATTCTATAACAAGGGACACTCCCTGCAGACTTGGGGAAACCTCATTGATCAGTCACAACTACTCGAAGAAAGATATTCCACTAAACTCCTTGGGGCCATCCAAAGCATTTGAGAACAACTTTTCTGAAATGACCTTTTCATTTGTTGTTATTGGTGTTGTCCCAGATATACACATTCTATCACTGTACTCTCAGATTTCTACAGGGACCACTTGAAATTATGAAAAGACTTTAGAATGTAAGAGCTTTACATTTTTCCTAAAGTTTGTGATCCATGGTAGAATTTTATTTTCTTTATTGACAGATTGCCGTCCACAGTGCCTGTTGAGAAAATACCTCATGACCTTTGTTCATTCCCTCACCCGGACACTACAGGTAAATTAGTTGCATTTAGAGCTCTCCCTTTTCAACTCATTTCTGTGCTTGGAGACATACTTATATTTTTAGATGAATATGACTATGTCTCAACTTTGAGGCTTATTCTCTTTTTCTCTATGGTGACTTACTAACAAATGCCTACCATTTTATCTTTTTAAATTCCTAAGTTAAATTTTCTGTGCCTTTCTGACTCTTGGTCTGTAGCTCTGGACAATTCTCATGATCTGCAGGAAGAAGGCCCATGTGCAACTTGGGAATTATATGCCAAATTAGGGCGAATATCATGAACTCCAATGTAGAAAAGGAAAGAATTGAACATACCCTTATCAGACATTCTTTTTTTTTACATTTTTTTTTTCAGTTTCACTTGCATTTTTATAGTAGTAGTTAGTACTTCCAATACTTACTCATATCCTTCATATCCTTTCACCATACTTATTCACTCTACGTGCTGAGCAAGTATCCAAGAAGCTGGACAGAAGAGGAACCCAGCATCAGGACTGGAGGAAGACTTATTAACAACCTGTGATATGCAGACTATACAACTTTGCTTGCTGAAAGTGAAGATGATTTGAAGCCCTTACTGATGAAGATCAAAGACTACAGTCTTCAGTATGGATTACACATCAACATAAAAAGAACAAAAATCCTCACAACTGAACCAATAAAAGCAGCATCATGATAAATGGAGAAAAGATCGAAGTTGTCAAAGATTTCACTTCGCTTGGATCCGTAGTCAACACCCATGGAAGCAACAGTCAGGAAGTCAAATGACATATTGTATTGGACAAATCTGCTGCAAAAGACATCTTTAAAATGTTAAAGAACAAATATGTCACTTTGAAGACTAAGGTGCTCCTGACCCAAGCCATGATATTTTCAGTCACCTCATATGCATGTGCAAGCTGGACAATGAAAAAGGAAGACTGAAGAAGAATTGATGCATTTGAGTTGTGGTGTTGGTGAAGAATATTGAACATAACATGGACTGCCAGAATAATGGATAAATCTGTCTTAGAAGATGTATAGCCAGAATGCTGCTCAAAAGTGAAGGTGGTGAGACTTCATTTCATGTACTTTAGACAAGTTTTCAGGAGGGAGCAGTCCATCAAGAAAGACTTCATGCTTGGTCAGATAGAGGATTAGCAAAAAACAGAATGACCTCCATGAAATGGATTGTTACAGCAGCTGCAACAATGGGCTCAAACATAGTATCAGTTGTGAAGATGGTGCAGGATCAGGCAGTTTTGTTGTTTATAGGGTCACTATGAGTGGGAACTGACTCAAGGGTACAATTGTTATTTTGCTCCTTTTCTGTTTTACTCAGATAAATAACATTTCTGTCTCTTACCTATTGGTTCTTAGTTGAAATCCGTATGCAAATAACCATTCTTAAACTGTTATCATTCTAAATTAACAGAGCATGTATACAGACATACCGCATTTAGTATAGCTTGGGCAAAGGGTGGAGATCAAATGTAAAACCTCATTCATTGCTTTTAGACATCAAGAAGCTTTAGAGTGAGTTACCATTTAATTATTCTACTTTTTCTTTGTGGCATCTTGAGACACAGCGAGAACAACTACCTACTTGTCTGGTTCACTTTCTAAGTTGAAAGGATGATCAGGAAAATGCCCATTTAAGCCACGATGAGGTACATTTCACATCCATCAGATGAGCATAAGGAAGAAATTTAACAGCATTTAGTGTTGGCTGGATGTGGGGCACAGAACTCTTCACAGTGCTGATGGAGTATAAATTGGCAAAGTCACTGTCAGTTTTGGCCATGTCTTGTAAAGCTGAGGATATGCATACCCTATTCCTGAAGATGAATGAACAAATCTGTCCTGGAGGTAGTACAGCTGGAATGGTCCTTGGAAGTGAAAATGGCTAAACTTTGTCTCACCTACTTTGCCATGTTGTCAGAAGGGACCTGTCTCTGGAGAATGATACCATGCTTGGTAAACTGAAGGACCAGTGAAAAAGGGGAAGGCCCTAAAAAACATGGATTGACACAGTGGCTGCAATTATGGGCTCAAACATAGCAAGAATTTAAGGATGAAGCAAGACTAGGCAGTATTTCGTTCTGTCCTACATAGGTCCGTTATGAGTCAGAAATGATAGCACATAACAACAGCAAAATGACTGAGAAGTTCCACTCCTGATTTTATATTTGCAGGACTCTTGCCCACATACAGAAGTAGATTTTTACAATGACATTCACTGAAGCGCACCGTTCATAATAGTGAAAAGGTGAAGGCAACCAAATTTCCATCAGTAGGAGAATGAGTAACTAAATTTTGGTGTACTCATACAATTTTTTTTTATATATACAAAGTGGAAAATGAGAGAACATTTTAGATATACATTTACCAATGTGGATGTATCTCAGAAATACAATGTTTGGAAAAGAAAAATTTACAGAAAAGCAGTTTATAAAACATTTTTTAAATATTCAAAATAATATTATATATTGCTTATGGATACACAAATACATATGTATATGATAAAAGTTTATAGATGTTCATGAGAATGATAAGCACAAAGATAAGTGTGGTAGTTCAGTCTGGGCCTAGTTGAGTGGGTGGACAGCTGGATCTAGTATTCCCCATGATGAGACTGATAATCAACTCTATGGTGGAATCTACTATGAGCAACTGAGTAGCTGCCTTAGGGGTGTGGTCTGATTCCTGTATATAAGGAGAAGCCTTAGGGAACAGTCTCAAGCTTGTGGCCCTCTTGAACTCTGCTTGTAGCCAAGTCATTGTTCAGCAGCCTGCCATGCTCTGCCAGTCCTGGGACTTTCAATGGACTTGAATTAATGGTATGCCTTGTGGTTTGGTAACGTCAGGACTGTACCATTTTATTTGTTGACCTTGGGCATGTCAACCTCAGCAGCCAGCAGCTGCCTGGTGAAGAGATCCCTCTAGCTTCAGTGGTCCTGGAGCAAGAGGCAGAGCTGAAGCCCAAGGTCAAGGGGCTTTCACACCCCTAGAGCCTGGCACTTTGAACTCGGAGTTAAAGCCTCCAAATTGTAAGAATGAACTCCTATTTGTTAAAGCCATCCCATTTGTGGTATATTCTTGTCAGAGTGGCACTAGTTAACCAGAACAATAAGGTAGTAGTTACCTCTGAGAAGGCAGGTGGGGGAAGGTATATAGGATGACTTAGCTGTGTTGCCATTGCTTGCTTTCTTGGGCTGCATAGTGATACCTAAGTTGTCATTGTCTTAGTCTTTGTATCTTTTTTACCTGTCTTAAATATTGCATAATAAACATTTATTTATATAGTAGAAAAAATTCAGAATTTCTACAGTATCATTATGGCTATAAAAAACATTGTAATGTTAAAACATAATGCACGTTTTCCCAAAAGCAGCAGCTCATCTGTTTTCCTGTTGCTCCTCCACAACTTGGAGCCAAAATGATGCTTCCTACTTACAGTTCTAAGTTTACTGGACCTACAGTTACAAGAATCCTTTTGAATCCACTTTTTTAAAATCATTTTATTAAAATATAATTTATGTATAGTGAAATTCACAAAACTAAAGTCACATGGATCAATGCATTTTTTTTTCAGTGTTGAATCTGTTTTTCTTTTTTAATCTTCCTATCAGTCAAGATGTCTATCAGTTCCTTTACCTAGTTTTCCCAGCTAAGTGAAGGTAGCCAAGTATATCATTGGTTCCCTAACGTCTGGGAGTTATGATCCTAAAGCATCAGCTGTGTTGGTCTTCCCCTGCAGGTACTGTCAATGGGAAATACTGCTGTCCTCAGCTTTTCATCAACCACAGGTGTTTCTCAGGCCCTTACCTAAACAAAGGAAGGATTGCAGAGCTACCTCAGTCAGTGGGACCCGGCAAATGTGTGCTGGTTCTTAAAGAGGTAAAGTACTTTCATAATCACAATTGGTTTAGTTTAATGGGTGCAATCAAAGGACAAAATTAAAAAGGTATGTAAAAAAAAAAAAAAAAAAACCCAAACTCACTGCCGTTTTGTCAATTCCAACTCATTGCCATCCCCTTTGGGTTTCCGATGGGGTAAATCTTTATAAGGAAGTATATTGCCCAGTCTTCCTTCCATGGAATGGCTGGTGGATTTGAATAACCAACCTTCTAGTTAGCAGTCAAATGCCTTAGGCACTACACTACCAGAGCTCCTTAAAGAGATACTAGAAATTCTATTAATATGACCAAGCATCTAATTTCTCTCAGTACTGTGGGCTAGATGCTGCTGATACAGAGATGGAGAAATGGTGTTCCTGCCCTTGAAAGACTTACAGTCTAATGGGAGGGTCATATATTCCTTCCCATGAGTCAGGGGAAAACATTACACTAGATTTGGGAAAAGTGCTTTGGGAGAAGGGAGGAGCGATTAAGTGTATATGGAGTGAGCATTTAAGGCTGAATTTGTCAAGTAAGTTTTCTCAGAAGTGACATGTGAAACAAGCTTGGATGAGTGAAAAGGACTTCATGAGGCTGTATAGAGTATTGTGAAAAATAGACACTCCTTAGCAGTCATAGGCTCTTTGAGCACTTGGAAGTATTGCATTATCTTATATTTTATCCTAACCCCCAGCACAGTACCCTGCAGGTGGAAGGTGCGTGATCAATGTTTAGATGGTCTTTCAGTGCATTCATTGAGTTTGAATCATGGACTGCATCCTTGTGTGGGTATTGTTTTCCATTTCTCTTCCTGCTGTTAGGAGATGACCTACAGATAGAGGCAAATCCTCATTATGTTGATAGAGGCTTTCTTCCTCTTGCATTTTTATAGCTTAGCCTCAGACAGTGCTTGGAGACGGATTGAAATTTTGGAACAGTTTCTAAACTATTCTTGGAACTCTTTCTCTGCTTTTTCCACATGCATCAATGCTTTCTCTTAAGAAAGAGGACACCAAATATATCTTTTTTATTACTGTTGAACCATGATGAATGTTTTTTAATTTCCTGGGCACAACAGTTCATTTTTCCTTTGAAAAAATATTTGTTAGGCAAATTCTTGGAGCCTGGCACTGTATGAAGGACTAAGTCAAAAAAAATAAATGTGATGCGCCCTTTGCCTATTAAGTTTCATATTCTTATTGGGGAGATGGCATAATACAAAGCTAGATGTTATAGTAAGGGATGTACATCACTACAGGCAGAACAAAGTGCCCTGGGATCAGAGAGGTTAAAAAAAAAAAAAAACAAACTGTTGTTGTTGACTCGATTCCAACTCATAGCTACCCTTTATGACAGAACAGAACTTCTCCATAGAGTTTCCAGGACTCTAATCTTCATGGAAGCAGATTAGGGATCAGAGAGGAGGGAGTAACAAATAGAAGGGAAGTGACATTCGATACGAGTGGGAGCTCTGGTGGCATAGTGTCTAAGGCACTTGACTGCTAACTAGAAGGCTGGCGGTTCAAACCCACCAGCCACTCCTCATAAGGAAAGTTGGGCAATCTACTTTCAAAGCGATACTGCCTGGGAAACCCAAGGAGGGGTCTATGAGTCGGGGTCCGACTCGAGGGCAAATAACAACAACAACTGGCAAAGTAGGCAAAGAATTTGAACTGCACAGCATAGGCAAGGCTTCACAGGTGGAAGTTAAAGATATATTTGGGAAATGAAGGTGATTATGTATGGCTGGAGCATAAGTACTTAGATTAAAAAAACAAAACGAAACTCACTGCTGTCGAGTCAGATCTGACTCATAGCGACCCCTCCTTGGGTTTCCGAGGCAGTATTACTACGAAAGTAGATTGCCCAGTCTTCCTTCCGAGGAGTGGCTAATGGGTTTGAACCATCAGGCTTATGTTTAGCAGTCAAGTACCTTAGGCACTGGGAGCTCTGGTAGCATAGTGCCTAAGGCATTGACTGCTAACCAGAAGGCTGCCAGTTCAAACCCATCAGCCACTCCTCAGAAGGAAGATGGGGCAATCTACTTCTGTAGTGATACTGCCTCGGAAACTCAAGGAGGGGTCACTGTGAGTCGGGTCCAACTCGACGGCACATAACAACCACCACCACCACCTTAGGCACTATGCTACCAGAGCTCCTAGTACTTAGATTAGGGATACATATAAAAATAAATGAGTTCTTTAAAAAAAAAAGATATTATTTAAAAAAATAAGAAAGAGATAACTGGCTTGCCTGATGCTTCATTGTGAAGTAGGACTGAGTGGGTGTGGGACTGGTGTGAAGGCCCGTCTTTAGTATAGTAAGGAATTTGGACTTCATGCCCTGGATCATGGAGAACCATCAGAGTGACATGCTAATGCTTTTCTGTCAACACCTGAACCTCTATATGGTTTCAAGTTTCATTTAACTTAAAGAGAATGAGATAATTGAAGCAAAGTCAGAGCACCTTTGCTTTCTTGGGCTGTCAGTGTTATTACAAGTTAAAGACACATTGAGGGGAAAAAATGTCTGTTTTAGAGAGAATATTGAGGTTATAGGTTAGAAGAAAAACTGTAAGAAATTGATTGAGCTGTTGTGGTTATTTATTGAAGAGTACATTTCATAAATGTTAATTGAGCATTAGGTATATGTAATGTTTAAAATGTGGTCCCTGCCTTTCATTAGCTTCCAGTCCAAGGAGGGAAAGGCAAGTAAATAGTATATTACAATAGAGTAAATATGACAGGTGCTATGATGGGGTTGAATATGATGATCTTGAATATATCCCTCCTGAATTTAGAGATCATCTAAAGAATAGATTTGATGCATTGAACACCAGTGACTGAAAGCCAGATGAATTGTGGGAAGATATCAAGAACATTATCCATGAAGAAAGCAAGAGATCACTAAAAAGACAAGAAAAGAAGAGAAGACCAAAGTGGATGACAGAAGAGACTCTGAACCTTGCCCTTGAGCGGAGAATCGCTAAAGCAAACGGAAGAAATGGAAAGGTAAAAGAGCTGAACAGAAGATTTCAGAGAGCAGCTCGAGTAGACAAAGCCAATTACTATAATGAAATGTGCAAAGACCTGGAGTCTGAAAACCAAAAGGGAAGAACACGCTCAGCATTTCTCAAACTGAAAGAACTGAAGAAAAAATTTAAGCCTCGAGTTGCAATAGTGAGAGATTCTATGGGCAAAATATTGAATGATGCAGGAAACATCAAGAGAAGATGGCAGGAATACACAGAGTCACTGTACCAAAAAGAACTGATCGATCTTCATCCATTTCAGGAAGTGGCATATGATCTAGAACCAATGGTAATGAAGGAAGAAGTCAAAGCTGCAATGAAAGAACTGGCGAAGAACAAGGCTCCGGGAATTGATGGCATACCGATTGAGATATTTCAACAAACAGATGCCCCATTGGAGGCGCTCACTCAGTTATGCCAAGAGATTTGGAGGACAGCTACCTGGCCAACTGACTGGAAGAGATCCATATTTGTGCCCATTCCAAAGAAAGGTGATCCCACAGAATGTAGAAATTATAGAACAATATCACTAATATCATATGCAAGTAAGATCTTACTGAAGATAATTCAGAAACGTTTGCAGCAGTATATTGACAGAGAACTTCCAGAGGTTCAAGCCGGATTCAGAAGAGGACGTGGAACAAGGGATATCATAGCTGTTGTCAGATGGATCTTGGCTCAAGGCAAAGAATACCAGAAAGAGGTTTACTTGTGTTTTATTGACTATGCAAAGGCATTTGATTGTGTGGATCATGACAAATTATGGATAACATTGAGAAGAATGGGAATCCCTGAGCACTTGATTGTACTCATGAGGAATCTGTACCTTGACCAGGAGGCTGTCGTTCGAACAGAACAAGGGGACACTACATGGTTTAAAATCAAGAAGGGAGTGTGTCAGGGTTGTATTCTTTCTCCACACTTATTCAATCTATATGCTGAGCAAATAATCCGAGAAGCTGGACTATATGAAGAAAAACGTGGTATCAGGATTGGAGGAAGAATCATTAACAACCTGAGATATGCAGACGATACAACTTTGCTTGCTGAAAGTGAGGATGACTTAAGGCACCTACTGATGAAGGTTGAAGAATACAGTCTGCAGTATGGATTACATCTCAACATAAAGAAAACAAAAATCCTCACAACTGGACCAATGAGCAGCATCACAATCAATGGAGAGAAGATTGAGGTTGTCAAGGAATTCACATTGCTTGGTTCTACAATCGATGCCAACGGAAGCAGCAGTCAGGACATTAGACGACGTGTAGCATTGGGAAAGTCAACTGCGAAGGAACTGTTTCAAGTGCTGAGGAGCAAGGATGTCTCCTTGAGGACTAAGGTGCGCCTGACACAAGCCATGATATTTCCAATCACCTTGTATGCATGTGAGAGCTGGACAATGAATAGGGAAGACCGAAGAAGAGTTGATGCTTTTGAGTTGTGGTGCTGGCAAAGAATACTGAAAGTACCATGGACTGCTAAAAGAACTAACAGATCTGTCCTGGAGGAAGTACAGCCAGAATGCTCCTTGGAAGCAAGAATGGCCAGACTTCGTGTCACCTATTTTGGTCATGTTGTAAGAAGGGACCATTCCCTGGAGAAGGATGTCATGCTTGGTAGGGTGGAGGGTTGACGAAAGAGGGGGAGGCCTTCAACGAGATGGATTGATACAGTGGCTGCGATGATGGGCTCGAGTATAGCAGGGATTGTGGGGCTGGTGCGGGATCGGGCAGTGTTTCGTTCTGCTGTGCATGGGGTCACTATGAGTCAGAAACGACTCGACGGCACTTAACAACAACAACAACAACATGATGGGGTTGGCACAGATGCTATGAGATTGCATAGAAGTTACCCACCATCTATGGGAAAAGTGAAATGGGCAGCCTGCTCCAGGTAGAAGAAAAAGCAGATACAAGCCTGGAGGCAAGAACATCCCTGGTGCAGTGGGGTGAAGGAAGGAGAAGAAA